CTACAGATCCTCCGTAGGTCCTTTCTGAGCCTGCTGGGCCTTGATTGTTTTCAAATCCAAATAATCTGCATGCAGGGCGGCTGTGCTCAGTGTTGAGCATCCACCTATGAACCAGGAGGTCAGGGATTCCCATGGGGCATGCTAGGGTTGCAGGCTCATCCCCAGTAGGGGGATTTCAGGAGGCACCTGATCCATGTATTGCTCGCTCATCAATGTTTCTCTCTCTCTCTCTCTAAAATCAATAAAAAAATCTTTAAAAATACATAAAAATTTAAATAAAAAAATAGATTATTGCTGATGATAAACTGAACAAAACCTTTTTCAGCTACTTTTTAAAATGTAATGAAGGCCCTTGATTTTAAAAAATCTTCTAAATTTTATTTCTTTTAAAGGAAGCTAGAATTTCGGGGAATCAAGATCAATAATAGAATGTGAGAGTTGGAGGTTTTTATTTAGTTAAAAAAAATCTCATTTTATAGATAAAGGAACAGGAGAATAATTTGCTTAAGGCTGGAGACAAGAACCACAAGATTTTAAATATTCTGCATTCTACCTCAGTGGAAGACTTGCTCTGGCCAAATTTTCTGCCCTGAGGTTAATTCTTTTGCATTTAAACTAGGACTCTTAGAATAGTTTGGAATGTGTGGGGTGGAAGGGGAACTAGTTGGGACTTCTGGAATTCAGTTTCCGGTCTTCCAAAGACTTCTAAGTGATACCTATGTGGACGAAAGGGGCCACATGCTGACCTGACAAAGCTCAGGAGAGGCCTGCATGGCAGTTTTGCCACAAAGGATGGACTGAAATTAAACCTTAACTAAAAGCAGTTATGGTGGGCAGTTGCGTCCTAAGCCGATATCTTCACTGATAAGGTCAACCTTTACCGTAACTGAGCCTATCTGTCTTTTTGCATCTATGATAACATGTCCTTGGGATGTCTGGGTAACTTGTGACTTCCCTTTTCATGGAGCCCCTGGGGCACAGCCAGGTGTGCTGGGTCCAGGACAGATACCACAAATTCCTTCATCATCATCTTAATTGTTCCTGCACCCACCTAAGTATGTGTCCATCTTTTTACTTTTTATCCTATCACAGAGGTTGCCCCCGCTTCGCTTAATCCCACCTCCTTAATCTGTCACCAATGAATTTCATGTATAAATACGGATGTAACCCTGCCATTCTCCGGAGCACTATCTCCATTCGTTGAGGTTCTGCCTCCTGGCATATGTCGGCAGTTTGGCTCAAATAAACTCACAAAAATTCTTTACAGGTTTCAATGGTTTTTTTTTACGTTAACACCTATCGCCTTTGTCAGCGTTTCCTTATTTTAAATGGACTCCAGTCAATAAATATTTCTTGACTGCCTAACGTGTACTCCTCCATCGCTCCTTGCATTACCTAGAGCAAAGTCAATAAATATTTCTTGACTGCCTAACGTGTAGAGCGCATGAGGATTGTATTTTCACAATAAATTAAAGAGGAGCCTGCCCCTCAAATATTTGACTCATAAACTGGTACCTTGCATGGGTACACGTTACTATAGGGAAAGTTCTCTCGTGGCTAGACAAATGGACGGGTTCATTATCTACTTTAACTCCTCCATCGCTAACAGTTCCTTGCATTACCTAGAGCAGAGGCTAAGACGCACGGTGGAATCAGTCCCTTTTTACGTGGATTTTCAAATTATGCCAGGCCCTTTCTGCCGAGTGATGGCGAAGGCACTTGAGGTTTCCAAGCTTCCGCCTCCGACTGGAGCTGCTTCTGACCGCAAAGACGGGTCCTGGGCCCGCGCCTTCCCAGCTCCGGCGCCGAGCGCTGCGGGCCTGGCGGCGGGAGACCGGCCACGCTTATCCGAGATGTCGTCCACCGCGGCTTATTACCTGCTCTCCACCCTGGGAGGGTACTTGGTGACCTCCTTCTTGTTGCTCAAGTACCCGACCTTGCTGCACCAGAGGAAGAAACAGCGCTTCCTCAGCAAACACATCTCTCACCGCGGAGGTGAGGGGGTCTCCGGAACCCGGTGGCGGAAATGGGGGAGCCTTTTTGGTTGGGTTTGTTTTGTGTGTGTTTTTCGCCCCCCTAGGTCCTTCGGAGCCCCGCCAAAGGCTGGCGGGTGGACATACGCCCGAGTTTGAGGAAGAATGGGGATGTGTGAATGGGGGCTCCCCGGAGGTGCGGGCGGTGTGGAGGGGAGGTCTCCTGTGGGAAGGAAAGGGCCTTGGGACAAAGCCCCGGGTGAGGGTTCTTGGGTGCAGCGGTGTCGGGGTCCTCGGGAGGAGGGGGCACCGTGGAGAAGCGGGTGGACGGGGAGCTCCTCAGCGGACGCAGGAAGGGTCGCGCTGGGAGGCACGAGGGGGTGCGGGTGGGGGGCCGGGAACAGGCTGCCCCCAGGGGCCGGGGAGCTGCGGGGAGGGA